GGAAGGAAGGAAGGAAGGAAGGAAGGAAGGAAGGAAGGAAGGAAGGAAAGAAGGAAGGAAGGAAGGAAGGAAACAGGCCTGCAGGAAAACGAAGGGAGAGGTGAAGTTAGTATGTAAAATGTTTGTCAAAGGTCTTGCGCAGTTGCTGGATGAGGTCTGTGCCATTGTCCTGGGTTTCCTAGCAACCAAAGCAAGAAAGGGAACACAAGCAGTTATAATTTCGCAGTGTCCATAAGATAAAAACAGACCGGTTGCTCGGAAGAATTCTCCCATGGCTCCTCTCAAAGGGAACACTGTGCCGTATCGTATGTCCTCAGCAACAGTCCTACAGTAAATATAGATTCTAATTCTGAACAGTTGTCTCTCAGTATAGACTCAACGCAGGTGACTGGCAGAGTGCCGGGAGTCACTCAGTACACTCGAGGAGCCGAAGAGATTTCACACAAACAAGCAGTTCTCTGAAGATTTAGCTTGGTTCGGAGAGAAATTGTTCCAGTTTCCGGGGGCAGGCGTGGGAAATGGCAAGCACACCATCACTTGCAGTCTAAGCCCAGGGCAGACATCTCCAATGGTCACTGACCTTTCTCCCCAGGAGACTGGACATGACCTTGTAGACCTTCCCCATGCAGTACACCAATAGGGTTCTTTTCATGTACCTGCTTGGATCAATCCGCCAGCTCTGATCAAAGCATACTGATGAATATCCTTCAGTCAATGCTCTATGAATATTATTTCATATAGTCGTGTTTTAATGGAAATGAGGCAAGAAGGAGTCTGATGTTATACTGGCGAGCAAGCGAGAAGTAATATTCTGTGTTGATAAGGAAGGTCAGAACATTATTTTTGGATAGGCAAACAAATGGAAGTCAGTTTGACATTCTTACATGAAGAGGCTGAGCACTGGGACAAGAACCAAATTCAAACCCAAGGTTGCTACAGTGTGCAGACTGCCCCTGAGGTGTAACAAAAACATCTTGTATGTTAGGGTTTGTGTTCAAACTGATCGGAGGGAAGACGGAACCTTCTGGGCACTTCCCCTCTCTAGATGCCTTTTCAACCTCTGAGTTAACAGAATAGTTAACATCATTAACTGGCCAATAGATAGATAGATTTATAAAATATATTTATAAAATATATCTATATATAGATAGATAGATTTATAAATCTATCTATCTATCTATCTATCTATCTCTCTCTCTCTCTATATATATATATATTTTTTTTTTAAAGGAAAGACAATACAGTGCTTGAAACAGGAAAGGGCACTCCCGGTAGACTAGAAATTTGAAGGACACAAAGGAGACTGTGGTAGCTTTGGTGGTCCCCTGAACCACACTGCCCAGTATTTGTGTCCTTTTGTAGTCCCCTTACCACACTGACTCTGGACTTGGCGTGTGGCTGTCTGGCTGTGGCCAACGGGACATTAAAATGCATAATGTAAGTAGAGGCTTATAGGAGCTTGCACATTAGAGATTGTTCTCTCATGATGTTTTTTCCTGTAACTCAGCCACCAGGCCATAAGGAGGCCCAAGCAGCCAGGTGGAGAGGCCAAAAATGGGAAGAACTAAGGCCCCTAGCTGACGGCCTGAGCCGAGATCCCAGCCAGGAACCAGCACCAACATGGAAGGAGGTTAGTTTACCCCACTAGCCATCCCCACATCAACATCCCATTAAGAAAAAGAACTGCCTGGTCAACCCACTGAATTGTGAAAAAATGACACATTTTTGATGTTTTAAGCCACTCAGGTTTGAGGTGGTTTGTTACACAGCAGTAGATAACTACAAATGGAAGTTTAAACCTTCGACCAAAATTCTTCCCAAGGTAGACAAGGAGCAGGGTTTTTGTTTTGTTTGTTGTTAAGGTAGCAGCAATTTCCTTCATAATAAGTCAGAGGAGGTTCTAGGGAAGGCGATGTAGTCGGCTCAGTTTGATGTGTTTGCGGGAGTCCAGTAGAAGGTTTCCAGTAGACATTTGGCTCTCTAAAACATAAATTATGCTACGAAGGGTAATGAGGGCTGGCGATATAGATTTGGAGGTCACCGGCATTAGCTAAAATCGTGGGAATAGACGAGATCATGCAGAGAGTGGGTTGGGAGGGAAAAAGCCACAAGCCAAGAATGGAACCCTAAGAATATCAATGCTGAAAGGTGGGGACAGACAAGGACATGCCACGTGGGAAACTGGAAAGGAAAGAGTAGAAAGAGGCGATAAATTACAAAACTGCATCACAACACCCAGGCAAAGAGTATCAGAGAAAGAGTGGTCAGCCATCACGCCCAACGAGGTCGCATAAGATGACGGAAAGAGGTTCTTTGTATTGGGCAGTTGGGAGGTCACCAGCCAGTGGCCTTTGAGGTGCTCAGTGCCATGGAGGTGCTCAGTGTTCATAAGAGATAAGGGAGAGGAGCGAAGATACTGTGACAGGAAGGAAGGAGAAAAGGGGACACTTCAAGGCTGACACGGGGTTGAGGACATTTTTGCAGTTAGGGAAAATAATTAAGTACTTCTGGGTGCCAAGAGAAGGTGCCAGTAGAATTGGAGATGTTGCAGTCACCAGAAAGAAAAGAGAGCTAGTCCAGCTAGAGAGGAAGGGGATGAACTCAAGGGCAAAGGTGGAAAAATTAGCCTTGAAAAGAAGGGAAATTTCTGAGGAGGATGGGAAAGGAGAAAGCAGACCTACTTATAACTAGGGCGATCTAGTTTCTGTTGCTGGGAAATGAGCAGAGATGGGCAAAATTAAATGAAATGTGTTCACAGAATCAGCCCGGTCTATATTTACTTCCCCATAACCAGAGAGGCAGCATATTCTAGCGACGTGGGCTCTGAAACCCAACCGGCTGCTTTGAATTTCATTTCTGGCCATGACATGCTTTTTCGTGGAAGGTCATATTTATATCACAGCAACTGTGCTTGGTCTCCATGGCTTTATTTCAAAGATTTAGAACACGTGGGACAGATAATTCCAGCTCTTTAATGTCCTTGGGACACTAGTAAGATTTTTATGAACAAAAATCTTGTTCATAAGTTGATAATGTGGTATAAACTGGGCTAATTATAGTTATTGCATCAAAATTGTAGGTAAGATAGCTAATAATAGCACAACTGGACAGTTGAAATAGATTAAAAAAGAAAAATCACAACTGGGACAAAAATTTGAAAACCATTTGCTTCCACGGTAATTATAGAAATGCAAATTTGAAAAATGAGGCACCATCTATCAAATAATCCAAAGCAAAGTCAAGTCAATAAGTCTGTGCGCGGCGACTTTAGGAAGATAGTACCGAATGTGAGGGGACATTTAAAAGTTGGTGCAGTTCTTTGAATAACTGCTGATACTTATTGAGCATTTGCTGCACATCAAGCACTGTTCTAAAGCATATTCATTGACTCTTCATTTAACCCTCTGAGATAGATTGTGTCACTATTATAATCCCTGTTTTCTAAATAAAGAAACTGGGGCACAGCATGGTTAAGAAAATGGTCCAAGGTCATGAAGAAAGTTAAGTGGTCATGATGTGATTCAAAACCAACTAGAGTGACTACAAAGCCCTTAACTAGTACTCTTACCAGCAGTTTTCCAACTTCTTCAACCTAGGGGTGACCGTCTACCTGTTTGCTTTTTAATTCCTGCCTCTAGGAAAGGCTTCTCAGAAACTCTGGACTCTACAGAGAGAGGAACAGGATGTTGGTTTTTAGTGTTTAGGCCAACCACTTCTAAGAGTGTTCATGCTCGGTTGGAAACACATCGAATGTGGAGAGAAGGTTCCCTATGGGCTCAGAGATCTTAGAGATAAGACTGCTGTGTGTTAGTGTTATCATAGCAAAGTTTGGTGAAGGCTCCGACAGGTTTAAGATTTGTGAGAAGGGCAATCTTGGTTCCTTCGACTTTTCCCCCTCCCTTCTTCTCTGGAGCTCAGACTCGGGTCAGGGGCATAATTGCAGCCTTACAAGGAGAGAGTATTATTTCACATGCTTATCATTATTTCCCTGCTGGACAGGTGAGTTTTTCTGCCTTTAGCTTCTTGACCTTAGCTTCTATTTATACCTACGACACTCATCCTTTCAAATAGAGGGTAATCCAGTAGCAAGTACATTTGCATGCACTCCCGAAATATAACCATCCCAAGGACATAATGATTGCCTTTTATATTTTTTAAATGTCTTCTTTTTCTTTGGCATTAAATTAATTTCCAGAATGGATCTCTTCCTCCTCCTTTCTCCTGACTGCCTTTTCTAGAGTTTTACTAAATGTTTTTTTGCCAATAGGTCTGTTTCTTATAAGTCCTCACGTTTGTTCTAATTATAAACTAGCACACATGGTGACATATACTACTTTCCTAGGCTGAATTCCAGAAAGCAATGACAAGCAAAGAAAGGAGAGCTCCATAAGTAAACGGAATTTAATCTAAGGTAGTGCAAATTGCCTTTGCTGCTACATGTTTTTTTAATCCAAAAAGAAGTTTTATTTCTAGCTGAACAGGTCCTAATGGGTTCCCCCCTCCTTATTCACTTATTTCACGCCAGTAATATGTTCTAGTCATCTTTGTAGTCACACTCCTGGTGCCATCCACATGGGAGTAAGCTGTAAGTGTGGAACTAAATTAAATTGCATTTAGTCAAATGAGAGGTGATAGCATTTCAGAAGAAGTGAAAGAAATAAACTGCGTCTTATGGTGTAAACGTGCTCAAGTCCTTGCTATAGCTTACCAGTTAGCTAATTCAAGAAGTGTATGTAGTCAAATCTCATAGTATTTTTACTTGGAAAAAAAAAACACACCTCTTTCTTACCCTATCATAAGAAAAGTAATACAAAGTGGGAAGACTCACTCAGAATCCTATCACCCTGCAATATACCAGGTTAGTAACAGTGGTTATAAACTTTCAGCCATATATATATACACATATATATACATACACATATATATACACACATACATATGTATATATGTACATACACACACACATATATATACACATATATACACACACACACATATAATATAATATATATGAAACACGTTTAAAACAAAACGATGTACTGTGAGCCCATTGGACGAAATGGCATCCTATACATCTTGTTCTGTAACCTGCTCTTTCATTCAGTTTTGATTCTTTCTCATATCAATAAACGTTCATCAAAAGAGCTTTATTATTCCACACAATGAGTGATTGGCTGATAGTTTCCTTTGAGTGCTCTTGGTCAGGTTTTGGTATCAGAGTTAAGCTTACTTTGCGATATGAACTCAGAAGCTCATCATCTAAGCTCTCAAAAGTTTATTTAGCATCTATTCTCTGAGCAGGTGAAGGTATCCATTCTCAAACTGCTTGGCATGGAAGGATTTCCACAATGTATTAAGTGAAAAAAAGAAAGTTTCTGAGAAATATGTGTAGTGTGATACCATTTTTATTTTTTTTAAATTCTGTTTAGGGATATATTTGATATGGATCAATACTAGATGGATATGTTCTTCGATATACAGGGAAAAGTTTAAAAGTATACATATTAAACATTAATTTTCTGTATTGTTTTTCTGTTCTCTGTTTTTCAATGTTGTAATATGACTTCTTTCTGCTAGCTTTGGGTTCAATTTGTTCTTTTTTTCCAGTTCCTTAAGTTGTAAGGGTTGTTGATTTGAGCTCTTCCGTGTTTGTTTTTTTTTTAACGTGAGCATCTGTAGCTGTAAACTTCCCCCTTAGCAGTGCTTTCACTGCATCCCATAAGGTTTCGTTTGTTGTGTTTTTGTTTTCATTTGTCTCTAAGTATTTTCTAATTTCCCTTGTGATTTCTTCTTTGATCCATTGGTTGTGTAAAAGTGTGTTGTTCAATTTCCAAAAATGTGTGAATTTCCCAGTTTTCCTTTAGTTATTGATTTCTACCTTCATCCCATTGTGATCAGAGAACATACTTCACATAACATGTATATTTTAAAATCTGTTGAAACGTCAGTATGGTCTATCCTGGAAAATGTCCCACGGGCACTTGAGAGGAATGTGTATGGAGCATGTGCTGTGTATGTCTGTTAGATCTAGTTGATTATACCGGATTGAGTGGCCTGTTCTGTTTTTGCTTTGATACATGTGAGGTTTCTTTGACATTTAAAATACGGTTAGCTTTTGGTAATGAATTATAACACATTTAAAAAAAAAAAAGAGGAAAAAAAGAATCCATGGGGACAGAAGAGAGGAAGAGGAACAGGACGAGAGAAGGCTTACAGAAAGTCAGCTGGTAGATGCCGAGAGGAACAGCGGCATCTGGAGTGGGGTGACTTGGACGTTCCTGGGGGAGGGGACAGTGAGGACTCACGTCTCCCCTCCCGCGG